ATATTAGCCAGTATGGTGGTCCATCTGTTCTAACTCTCGGAATGTTTTCCAAGATATCCATAAACCAAGCATTTGGTGTTGAACTAAAGATTTTTATCATGAGTGCTTTCTTTGTCGCTTTAGAAACATAGGGGTCCTTGTTTGGATTCGTCATTTTTATCCTATAAGAAATGGGTTTATTTGGCGCATTAGCAGGAGTTGCATCCAGATTTTTGCCCGCAGTGGGAACAATAGCCAGAGGTGTATTTGGAGTTGGAAGGAAGATTTTGAGTACATTAGGTATACTTAAAGAGAAAGCACAACCTATTATACAAACTGTACAGAAAGGTTGGGATGTAGCACGAGATGCAACAAATCTTATTCCAAATCCTGAAACAAGAGGAAAAGTTCAAGGATGGATGGACAATGTAGGAAGACAAGCAGGAAACTATTATAACAAAGCAAATGACTACTATAACCAAGCAGGACACTATATGGACCAAGGTGAAAGATTCTTTAACAGAGGATATAACCATGCACAACAATGGGTAAACAATAACCAACCTCAACCGCCTCAAACGTGGGGAATGTAAAGTTTTTTACTGAGATGAAATGAACAATACAGCATTGAGACAAATGGGTTCAAGATGGATTTGTCGACTTCCAGCAGTTACACCACGTGTTTGTCAAGTTCTTCCTATACCTCAGGAAGTTTTAGACCGACTTAAAAAACAACAACAACCAGTTGAAAACAAACCAAACTAAAATTTTTTACTGAGATGAAATGACCGAAGAAGTTGAAACGGTAGATTTGACACCACAAACAAAAAGTTCAGACCATTGTCAAAACCTGTCAAAGAACTTACAGATGAAGAGAAAAATTCAATAATAGAAAGTGCCAGGTCTGGAAATACAAACCCTAACTATAAAGTCACTTTTCATAGAAATGGAACGGCTAGTATCTCAAAAAAGAAACAGACTCTCACAAATAAAATATTGAAGTCTGAAGGAGCTTTCGAGACAACAGATGGAAAAGTTTACTTCACTGACCAACAGTTCATTATAGAACATCTCATTGACTTAGAGTCGAAATATTCTAAACTTTACAACAAACACAAAAAGTTGAAAGGAAAACAAAAACAAATGGCATATGATATTTATGAAGATGTTGACGACACAACTGTTCCTGCAAGTGAAGTAAAGTCAGAGAAACCGAAAAGTGACGAAAAACCGATAGAAGAAGAAAAACCAAAAACTGAAGATAAACCAAAACCAAAGTTTAGTTTGGAAACTAAACCAAGTCAACCTTCATTAGCTGGTATGGGTTGGCGTCAAAGACTTATGGCAGCAGGCGGTTATGTAAAGTAAAGAAAAAAATATTTTTTTATTTTTATAAAAATGCCCCCATATAGAATGGATAGAAAATCTGCTAGAATAAAAGCAGAGTTGCAAAGATATGGTTGGAGAGTTTCGAAGAAGTTTAAATATAGGAAGGGAAGACCCATAAAAGTCTATGACAAATTGTCTGGTCTTCGCTACGAAATGGATTTGGAAACAGCACGTGCAAATTATCCAAACAGACTAGAGAGGTTAGAAGAAGAACGTCTTATGGACATGCCTTTCGATGTGTTAAACATTGCATGAAGTAAAAATTTATTTTTTAAAAAGTGACATTTTTTAAATTTTATTTGAAATGTACGCTGAGTTTGTTGGAGAAGACCGTTGGGAAACTTGTTTGTTAGATGAGAAATATGAAATGGCATACCATTTTAAAACAATATATTTTTACATATATTAAATGCTTCAGGTTGAAAAACAAAGAACAAAAGTAGCAGATACAAAACCGTTAGACTATATCTTTACAAATGCTGGTAGGACTATTTCAGATGAAGAAATTTCATCCCGAGTATACAGGTTTGACTATCCAATTCGTTGGCTTCAAAGTCCTTCAGATGCAAAGGCAATAGGATTTAGAAGAGTTTTGTTTTCAAATAGAACTAACGCATTTATGTTCGCAGTATATTTTCATGGGCAGTATAAAGGTTCTGATGGTCTAATAGACAAATTTGACGAAATGAGAATCTTTACAGTTCGTTCAGACGAAAGTCTTGAGAAAACTCTAAATGACTTTCAAACTCAAATGAACAAATATTATTGGGAATTTCAAGAAAAATACGACTCTTTACTAAATGGAACATACTATCTGAAACTAGAATATGACAAGATGAACTCCACCGTTTCATTTCAAAAGATTGAAATTAACCCTCCAAGAGATACAGAGTTTTTATTTTGGAAAGTAGACAAACGTTCTTGGGCACAATTTCTTCGGTTACTAAACCAGAACGAACCATTACCACCAGATGGTCCATTTCAATTTATACTTCCACCAGCAGATTTGACAGTTTATAGAAACGTGTTTGACCCTCAAAATGTTATGTGTCATGCAAGTTTCAGTTCAAGCAACAATAGTTTTCTATGTATTGGTAAGGACTTTTATGACTTTGCTTCTAAATTCTACGAACCACCTAGTAACAGTTTCTCTGACTTTCAAGTTTGGTTCACAACAAATGGTGTGCAACATATTATTCCATTGTACTATGACTTTTATCTCGAATTGTCTTTCATATATAACTACGGAAAAGTGCTGAAAAAGTATTGAATGTGAAGATATTAGAAAATAACATTTTTTCTAACATCGTAGAAAACTCATGAAAACAATTTATTTTTGACACTTTCACAAAAAACATAAAAAAGTGCAGTTAAACGTTAAGGTTTACTGAACTGGTTGGATGTCGCCTTCACAGGTTATGTAGAACGGTTGTCCTGAGAAGTGGAACAGTGCTCTGAGAATTTGTATAATTCGTGGAATTGGACTCTCTCTGTTTGGAAGTAGTATCCAAGGACGCTTGGCAAAGAACTTTATAATGGCTTCCTTCTTTGCTTGCTTTATGTCGTCGTAGGCTGTCCCGTCTGGTATTTGAATTGGAATTTCAGTCGAAGTCTCGAGATTCAAGACAGCCCTTCCAGAAATAGTGGTGAACTTGACCTTGGGCTTCATGACCTTGCGCAAGTAGTCTTTTACGCAGTCGTTTATTTAAATTAGGTAAACTGCCTCGTCAAATCCTTCTGGCATTCCGAGTCCTTCCATCCGACAGGAAAATATTTTCCCGACAACTGGAAAAAATTTTCCTTCCGACAGAAAAAATTTTTCCTTCCGACAGGAAGAACTCTTCCAGTTGTCCGTCCGTAAACCATTCAAATTTTCGAAAATTGAGAACTTTTTGGTCGAACTTCAGAAAAAGTTTTTCCTTCCAACAGAAAAAGTTTTTCCTTCCGACAGGAAAAAATTTTCCTTCCGACAGGAAAAGTTCTTCCTTCCGACAGGAAAAGTTCTTCCTTCCGACAGGAAAAGTTCTTCCTTCCGACAGGACACAAACGAATGTCCCACGTCCCACCAACCCAGTCCATTCCCAAACCAGAGGAACCTAAAGAACCACAACAGTCTCCTCAGCAACCTCAGTTCCAGCAAGTACCTCCACCAAATTACTACCAATTTCCACCTCAAGGTTACTACCCACCACAAGGCTTCCCGAACTACCCTCCTCTGCCTATGCCTTACTTCCCCAACCCTTGGATGTTCCAGCAAGCTCCACCCCAACAATTCCAATTCCAATACAAATCGAAGAGAGACCAAGACTTCGAAGAAGGTCTGAACCGCTTACGCAAAGAGTATGCTACAGCTCCAATTGAGAGAAAGTTGTTCCCGGACCCAAAAATAATGTTTAGGTGAAGAGGTGAGATCTCACCTGTTTTTTCACCTCTTTTTTCACCCTCTTGGTTTTGTCATGAATTTCCTTAAGATAGAAAAAATAAAGTTAGTTTTATTTTTTTATTTTGTATGTAAAGATATGATTTCAGGGATTTTTTTGACGAAGTGTAAACCTTCACTTCGTCAAAAAATAACAGTTATCTAATGAAAAAGTATCATTTTTTGTATTTTTTTGTATAAAAGATATGATTTCAGGGATTTTTTTGACGAAGTGTCAATCTTCACTTCGTCAAAAAATAACAGTTATCTAATGAAAAAGTGTCATTTTTTTTGTATTTGACGAGAATGTCGGGTAAATGTTTTGTCATGATTTCATCGTAAATGTTTTGTCAAGACTTCTTCGTATATGTTTTGTCATGATTTCATCGTAAATGTTTTGTCAAGACTTCTTCATCGTAATGAGCGTAAATGTTTTGTGAAGAATATAGCAACAGTCTGAATTCCGACGGTTGCTTTTTATACAAAATTCATGCAGGAAATTCTTGAGTTTTGGTTGAAAGAATACGGTGGAGCCAAAAGTGGCTCGACCTCAAAACAAGCATTTTATGAGCTTACGAAGGGTGTTATGAATGAATTCAAATGTATTTACATACATCCTGACCTCGTTCATTTTGTTGCTGAATTCAGCAAAAATAATGTTTAGGGTAGATGGTTAGATCTAACCTGTTTTCTCACCTGTTTTCTACCCTCTTGAATTTTCATGACTTCTTCATCGTAATGAGCGTAAATGTTTTGTCAAGACTTCATCGTACATGCTTTGTCAAGACTTCTTCGTAAATGTTTTGTCAAACATGAACGTACATGTTTTGTCAAGACTTCTTCATCGTAATGAGCGTAAATGATTTGTCATGATTTCATCGTACATGCTTTGTCAAGACTTCTTCGTAAATGTTTTGTCAAACATGAACGTACATGTTTTGTCAAACATGAACGTACATGTTTTGTCAAACATGAACGTACATGCTTTGTCAAGACTTCTTCGTAAATGTTTTGTCAAACATGAACGTAAATGTTTTGTCAAGACTTCTTCGTAATGAGTGTAAAGGACCCAAAAATAATGTTTAGGTGAAGAGGTAAGATCTCACCTGTTTTTTCACCTCTTTTTTCACCTCTTGAATTTTCATGAATTTTCCCGAAATAAAAAATAAAGTTAGTTTTATTTTTTTTATTTTTTTTATTTTGTATAAAAGACATGATTTCAACAATCGGCACAACAACAATTCAAACAACAGCACCAAACTCTTTAGTCATGAATCCTACGTCAATGTTAGTAGAGATGAAAAGCTTCATTCCTTCTTCATATACTTTTGAAACAGAAATCCAGAAGATAAAGCAAGAACTTTTAACAAGTAATTTAGACTGTAGTGCGAAAGATGAAACAAATGAACAGTATCTTTATGAAATGCAGGATATTATTGACCATTTACCCAAACTACCTGAAATCCAACAACAAAAACTCACTATTCCTGAATTCGACGAAATAGAAGTGAAACCAACTGACTCAGTAGAAATAAAGAAGTTCATACGAAAGGTAAACTATGAGTTTCTAGGATTTCATTGCAACCATAAGGTTATGGACAAAGATTGCGATATGGTATATAAGAATGTTTCTGACATATATAAATCTGAAGAATTTAAGACCTACGACAACTTTGTTTCGTTAGTTGCTGAATGTGTATGGCAGATAAGAGATCAAGATAGAAGAGGTAAGGTATGGAACAAACAAATAAGACCCGCTATGTTTGAGATGAAGAGAGCAATTGACGCTTTAGTTGTTTTAGCAGGTAAGGTTTCAGAATATAACGCAAAAATGAACCCGCAATGTTCTAAATGTAAAGCAGCAATGAGGAAATATAACTACTCCGTCAAAGAGATAGAACGTATGAGAAACGACTATGCAGACTTAAAGAAAGAAGCAGAAAAACCAGCAGAAAATAAAATGGACATGTTAGAATTTCTGAACAAAAACTATCCAACAGCAGAAGATTTCCTTCTATCTGACGTCAAGAAGAAATATAAAGAAACTTTCGGTATCGTTAAAACTTTTGACATACTGACAGAAGAAATAGAAGCTACGAAACTGTTTAGGATTTCAAATATACATCGTACAATTCATGTAAAACGCTTGTGAAAAAAAGAGGTGAGAAAACAGGTGAGAAAACAGGTGAGATCTCACCTCTTCACCTAAAATATATTTTTGCTGAAAAATGACCAAAATTCATGAATTTCCTTAAGACAGAAAAAATAAAGTTAGTTTTATTTTTATTTATTTTTTTATTTTGTATGTAAGAACAGAAATGACAAACATTGAGTTTGAAACAGTTAGAAAGATAGACAATGACACCAAAGTGGTTAGAATAGGTGATTTAAACGTAAGATACTCAAAGAAATACAACAAATATTCTTTGTCAGACATTATATCTCCATCTGGAAAGAAACCGAAGGACTGGGTTAAAATTGCTTCTACTCAGAAAATTTTGACAAGAAATCCTGAGCTTATGATATCAGTAGCATTTTATGGAACAAGAGCATATCTTATAGACAAAAAGTCTTATACCAATAGTTTTGTTATGGTTAGACCCAGTTGTTGGATATAACTTCATAACATATGGTTCATTCGATACGGAACGTTGCAGTGAAGGCTTACTTTACATCGTTCAGAAAACCGAAGGACTTCAACACAAAAAGATATAAGATAGGAAGAACATATAATATAACTCAAAGATATGACAGTACAGTCAATAGAGTCAAGGTTGTGTTTGCTAATGATATGAGAGCTGCAGAAACAGAACTACTTGAAAAGTTTGAGAAAAATGTATGGTGCTCCCATAAAAGGTAAAGAAACGTTTGAAGTAGATGAGATAGATAAAGCTATAAAATTATTTGACGAAGTTGCTGAAAAATACATGTAAAGCGTTTATTTTTTGGTCTTTTGTGAAAGATAGAAAAATAACGCTAATTTTTTTATAAAATTTGACGAAGTGCAAACCTTCACTTCGTGTCATAATGTAAAAATAACGCTAATTTTTTATAAAATTTGACGAAGTGCAAACCTTCACTTCGTGTCATAATGTAAAAATAACGCTTACCATGTAAAACGGTTGTGAAAAAAAAGAGGTGAAAAATTAGGTGAAAAAACAGGTGAGATCTCACCTCTTCACCTAAACATTATTTTTGCTGAAAAATGACCAAATTTCATGAATTTCCTCATATGCTTGCTTCCCTCGGAAAACCGAGAGAAGAGATTCCGTACGAAAATCATGAAGAACAGCGAGTAGGTAAAAAAACTTAGTCGCCAAAACTCTATGAAAACAGTGAAGAACAGCGAGTACGTAAAAAAACGTAGTCGCCAAAACTCTATGAAAACAGTGAAGAACAGCGAGTACGTAAAAAAACGTAGTCGCCAAAACTCTATGAAAATCATGAATTTCCTTAAGATAGAAAAAATAACGCTAATTTTTTTATAAAATATTTTTTTATTTTGTATGTAAAGACAGATATGTCAACAACAGAGAACACAACAACAGTTATAGTCCATGAAGCCATAAATGAAGAATATGAGTACATACAGTTTAACAAACAACTCCGTCTCATTCGTTCGGTCAAAGACGATATGTACCAAATGCCAAAGTATTTTGACAGCATGTTTTGCTCCAGATACTAAGAAACCACAAGACTGGTTTAGGAACCAAAGCACACAAGAACTTTTGAGCGAAGCACAGCGAGACCGACTTTTTTCTGGGTCGCCAAAACTCTATGAAAATCGTGAAAAATTGCCAAACGGTTTGAGAGGATATTATGTACATAGACTTCTTGTAAATGCTGTTGCAATGTGGGCTTCGCCTCGTTATGCTTGGAATATTTACAGACTTCTTGACGAAATTCATAGACAAGAACGTGAAGAGATGGAAAACAAGCTTGAAGCAAAAGACAAAAGCATTCAGAAAAGAATACCACGTTCGGTACCAAAAGGAAAGGAAAAGAACTATAAGTATATGATTTATACTGAAGAGATGGAGAAAGAAGAAGACAGAGATATGGTTATGTTGCATTTAGTCAGAAGAAACAACAAAAGCTTTTACGACCTTGCTAAGATTTACAAATCTGACAGAAATTGGTTCTATCGCGAAAACTTACCGATTTCAATGACACCGAATGAAGATGTGAAACAAATAGTTCAAGATACGTTACCTCAAACACACTATGATATGAAAGGTTGTACAATACTTACCTTCAAAGAAGACTTACCGCTACTGAAAGAAAAAATAACAGAGTATTTTGACAACTTCAAACAAGCAGAGTAAATGAACTCTTTATTTTTCAAGCTTGACTTTTTACAATTTGAATTTTGTTGCTGAATTCAGTAAAAATATAATTTAGGGTAGAAGGTTAGATCTAACCTGTTTTCTCACCTGTTTTCTACCCTCTTGAATTTTCATGAATTTTATATATATTAATGTTTTCGTTATGCCACTTTGTGCTGTCAGTCAGTCAGTCAGTCAGTCAGTTTAGGAAATTTACACCAAAAAATAATGTTTAGGGTAGAAGGTGAGATCTCACCTGTTTTTTTCACCTCTTTTTTCACCTCTTGAATTTTCATGAATTTTCCCGAAATAAAAAATAAAGTTAGTTTTATTTTTTTTTATTTTTTTATTTTTTTTTAGAATTTCTGAACAAAAACTATCCAACAGCAGAAGATTTCCTTCTATCTGACGTCAAGAAGAAGTATAAAGAAACTTTCGGTATCGTTAAAACATTCGATGTACTAAAAGAAGAAATAGAAGCTACGAAACTGTTTAGAGTCTCACGAATTCATAACGTTTACCATGTGAAACGCTTATAAAATAACTGGGGTAGAAAAGAGGGTAGAAATGAGGTTAGATCTAACCTTCTACCCTAAACATTATTTTTGCTGAATTCAGCAACAAAATTCTGAGTAAAATAATTTTTAGGGCATGTGTCAAACCGTTGAGTTTTCACAAAATTTAAAAAATAACGTTTACCATGTAAAACGCTTATAAAATAACTGAGGTGAAAAAACAGGTGAGAAAACAGGTGAGATCTCACCTTCTACCCTAAACATTATTTTTGCTGAATTCAGCAACAAAATTCTTGATTTCAGGGATTTTTTTGACGAAGTGCAAACCTTCACTTCGTCAAAAAATGGCATATGCTTGCTTCCCTCGGAAAACCGAGAGAAGAGATTCCGTACGAAAACAGTGAAGAACAGCGAGACCGACTTTTTTCTGGGTCGCCTAAAACTCTATGAAAATCGTGAAAAATAACAGAGTATTTTGACAACTTCAAACAAGTAGAGTAAATGAACACTTAGATTTTTCAAGCTTGACTTTTTACAATTTGAACTTTGTTTGCGTAGATATGAATTCTGAAAGAAGTATGAGGGTCTTGTATGACTTTATACTTCTCCCATAGTTCATATCTGTCAAACTTACCGGCCATGGACTCTTTCATAAGTTCCATGAAATCGTCTTCGGACAATCCGGGGAAAAGTATAATGTCAGTAAGTATTCTTTTAACATCCTTACTTAAACTCTTTGCTGTCTGTACACATATTACGACTGAGATGTTAAAGTGTCTGAGCTTCTTAAGAATTCGACACATATCTTGTTCTCTATTCTTAAGCAAAGGATGAGAAGCAAAGTCATCTAAGATAAGAAGACATCTATGAGGGTATGTCTTCCAATCGTAAGATTGCAATTTCTTCGAAATGTATTCTATCTCTTTCTGTTTGTTTCTGAAATGTTTCTTCTCTAATATTCTCTGCATTTCCTCATTTGGGTCTTTGAACTTAGAATTTATATACTCATTTATAGCATTATACTTCAAAACTCTTCTTTGGTACTTCTTTATCCAATCCAACAACTCAGAGTCTTTTATACATACTAACTTAGACTTCTTTATAATATCTTTGAACAAATTGACGGTTTGGTCAAATTGACCAGAAGTACTACAAATGACAACTAACTCATAGAATGGGTTCTTCTCATCTAGTTCTTGTTGTTGTGCAGCCATTTTAAGATAAGTGAAAGTCTTACCCGACCCAGGTGGTGCAATTAGACCTGTTATACCATTCTGAGCAAATAAGAACTTGTCATGTATGGGTTTTATCTGAGCATTTTCTAACTTCCTCTTGTTCTTGTTTAAAACATTCTCAAATTTTTTGTCAATGTCAGCAAACTTTTTTTCTAACATATTTTTAGAAAAATTAAAATTTTTATCTTTTAGAAAATGTCTAGCGATTTCGCTATCTATATTCGAGACAAGCTTTTCGACAGCAAAACATCTGTCGACCATAAAATCTTACATAGTGTAAACAAGAAAGGTGAATTTGTTCTAAAGTTCTGTTTCTGGGAATATGACAAGAACCATAAAACATTAGGCAGAGAAGTCTTAAAATTTGTCAATGACAGACTTGTTGACAGAGATGACGCCTCTTGGAGAGATGAAGTCCAACAAAATTTCTTAGAATGCAAAGAAGACACATGCGCTGTTCTTGAAGATGAAATAGAAAACAGAATAGATGAGCTATTAAAGGACAAAGAACTTTTACATAAATATGGTTCGGAGAAATTTGACATAACTCCACCAGAAAAGAAGAAGAAAGAAAAGAAAGAAAAGAAAGAAAAGAAAGTAGAAGAAGAGAAGAAAGAACCAGAGCCAGTTCCAGAGAAAAAGAAATTTGACATGTAAAAATAAAATTTTATTTTTAGAACATTTCTGGGTCAATGTCAATGTTCTCTTCCTCTTTAGGAGTAAACACTGGCTTAGACTCTAAAATCTTTTTACCCAATTTACCTTGAACTTCTACAACTTTAGACTCATAATATTCATAGTCGTCTGCTTTCTTTGGTTCATAAGGTATAACAAGTTTGTATGCTTTGCCTTCTTTAAGGTTTGAAAACCTTCTGTCAAAACTTTCTTTGACTGCTAACAAACCTTCTATGTCTAAGTCTTCAAATTTCGCACCATTTTTAGTCACAATAGCAAACTTAACTGGTTCGATGTTCCAAACTTTGCTGAATGAAGACTTTTCAAAATGGTAGAAGTAAACATTCAAATATGTGAATGGGTCTAGTTCTTCTTTAAGTCCTGACATGTACTTGTTTACTGAGATGAATTTTGCCATCTTTTTCTATCGGATAAAAAAAATATTTTTTTTAAAATTTACTCATAAAAATTTTTCTTTGTATATACACCTTTCTGTACGTCTAAAAGACTTTTGACATTTGCCAAGAATGTTCGTTTAGACGCTGTCATATAACCATATTCTTGACAATATTGTTTATACGAATCGTACAATGACCTTTCATCTAATGACACAAAGTCAGTTTCATCTATGAACAGTTCATATACACTCTTGTTTGCTTCTAACAATGTTTGTCTCTCTTCGGTATGTGGAATTTGTCTTGGATTGAACTTAGAAATATCTAATGTCATAAAATATGAGAACAAGTGGTTGTAAAAGTCAGATGTCAAAGTTTCTGCTAAGTCGTCAAAATATTCTGTATCTTGCATATGAGCTTCTGACGTTCTGACAACTACATATCTTCTGTCAGAACTTTCTAACTTCATCGGAACAGAATTGTTTGAAACCATAATGAAGTTTGCAACCTTTTCACAAACTCTTTGGTCTTTATATTTTCTTTCAACAACTCCAACTTTGTCTGTTATAAGACTCTTCAAAGCATCTGAGTTCAAAACTTTTGTTGTATCTATACTTTGAAGTTCGTTACATACTATAAGTTTCATATTCTCTATTGAGGAGTTAAACTTGCCACAGATGTTTTCTAAGTTTGTCATATTCGGGTTCGAATAGCCTTCTAACAGTTTGCATAAGATATCTGTAAAGAATGTGTTCTTACCTGTTCCTTGTTTTCCAATTATAATGAGAGCAGTTTCATTTTTAGCACTTGGATGTTGTAAGATGTTTGCAAACCAACATAAGATATACTCATAGACTCTTTCGTTTCCATTGCATATAATTTCTTTGACATGGTCTAACCAAGCTTCTATAATATTTTCTTTCCATTCTACTTGTTCATATTTATATCCAGTGAAGATAGAATAGAAGTTTGGAGAAGGTGTATAAAACTTTATACCACGAACTGAAAAATCTTCTAACTTTGACAATAAGATATCCCAAGCATCTAACATCTTCATGCCAACTTGTACAACTTTTATTTTCTTAAGTTTCTGTCTACATTCTTGTTCTGAAACTATTGTCGCTTTAGGTTTGTTAAAGACTACATCCCATTCTTTCATGACATAACATTCTGGGGCAGAGTCGACATAAATGACTAAACGTTTCAAATTCTCGACTGCTTTGTTATAGTCTCTAAATGGACACATATTTCTGAATGCTTGGAAGTCATAAAAATCTGAAACATCTATTCTGTACATTTTTATAAAAATAAAAAAAATATTTTTTTTTATTCTTGACTTTGTTGTTGCATTTGTTGCATTTGTTGCATTTGTTGTTCTTGAGCTATTTGTTGTTGAAGTTGTTCTTGTAATACAATACTTTCACCAGTTGCATCTTCCAATTCGAAACTTTCTGCCGTCATTGACAAATACATAGGACATAAAGTTTTACAGGAACAAAGTTTGCGTCAACTAATGTCAACGTTATACTTGCCAAAGTGTTTGAGTTCACTAAGGTTGAAAATTCTGCATTCGAATGAACAATAGGCAAACCAGCAGAGAAAGTATTGTTTATACGCATAAGTATCTTTTGGTCATAAGACAGTTTTGACAATGGTCTGAACTTTTTTTTGTGGTGTCAAATCTACCGTTTCAACTTCTTCGGTCATTTCATCTCAGTAAAAAAATTAGTTTGGTTTGTTTTCAAACTGGTTGTTTAGGTTTTTAAGTCGGTCTAAAACTCCTGAGTATAGGAAGAACTTTCAAACACGTGGTGTAACTGCTGGAAGCCGACAAATCCATCTTGAACTCATTTGTCTCAATGCTGTATTGTTCATTTCATCTCAGTAAAAAAATTTTACATTCCCCAAGTTTGAGGCGGTTCGGTTGGTTTTGTTACCCACTGTTGTGCATGTGGTTATATCCTCTGTTAAAGAATCTTTCACCTTGTCCATATAGTGTCCTGCTTGGTTATGTAGTCATTTGCTTTGTTATAATAGTTTCCTGCTTGTCTTCCTACATTGTCCATCCATCCTTGAACTTTTCCTCTTGTTTCAGGATTTGGAATAAGATTTGTTGCATCTCGTGCTACATCCCAACCTTTCTGTACAGTTTGTATAATAGGTTGTGCTTTCTCTTTAAGTATACCTAATGTACTCAAAATCTTCCTTCCAACTCCAAATACACCTCTGGCTATTGTTCCACTGCGGGTAAAAATCTAGATGCGACTCCTGCTAATGCGCCAAATAAACCCATTTCTTATAGGGTAAAAAATGACGAATCCAAACAAGGACCCCTATGTTTCTAAAGCGACAAAGAAAGCACTCATGATAAAAATCTTTAGTTCAACACCAAATGCTTGGTTTATGGATATCTTGGAAAACATTCCGAGAGTTAGAACAGATGGACCTCCATACTGGTTAATATTTGTTGGTCAAAACGCAAGATACTGTGAAGCCATACCATTAGAGATGTGAAAACTTAAATTTTATAATCCCTGGGATGCACTTTCTTCGATTTTTTTTAAATTTTTGGGATAAATTTTGACATCTTTTTTTTGCTGGCGACCCCCGTTTAGGGCATCAAAAAAACATGTTGTTTCGTTTCAAGATCGGGATATGTTGTGAACCCGACTTCTTTCATTAATGAAGTGATTTCTTAAGTTGAATAAAAACAAATTTGATTGAAATTCATACAAAATTTCTTTTTATCATTATTATTTAAGATGCTTTTTTATGTTGAATTGTTAATTTTTTATTTCCACCTGGGATATTTTGAATTGGGCTAGCCCAATCCCACCTCTCAATTTTCTCTCAATTGGGCAATGGGGATCCCATATAAAATGTATTGTAACAAAATTTTACATGCATAATATAGTACAATTAAACAACATTCTAAAAATATTAAATTCACATCATTTACTTGAAGATTTTATATTTTCAACAAAAATTAATACAATAATTACATTAAATTGAGGAGATTTATAATATTTATTATAAATTAAAATATTATTACTCATTAATTTGTTGAAATATTGCATTTTAGTTGTAAAAATTAAAATTTAAGTTTACATGGAGAAAAAAATTTTAAATTCCAAAAAAAAATTCAATTGGGATAACGATAGGGACAAAAATTTAGAA